GGGGGTCGGGGGCCTGCCCCCAGGGACGGCCCACATCTGGCCGGTGCCAGCCAGCTCCATTCACCGCCGAGCCAACGCGGGGGTTATCAGGCTGAGCTTTTAAAGGGCTCTCATCCCACTGGGAAGCTTTCATACTCACTACGAGCAGAGCCTGGAGCCGGAGGCCTTGATGGTTTGTCCTATCCTCTCACGGCCGTGCTTGATGAGTTCTGTGAAGAAAGTTGGAGCACCGAAGCCGATTAGCTGGCAGCGTGATCACAAGTGCACAGAGGCACATTTGTTCTTCACTGACCTTGCTCTTCTCTCCACAGTCACCCTCCTCCCTCTTCCACCCACATACCAAAATAACCAGGAAATTATAGGAACCAGGACATCTCCCCTCCCAGCCCTGCCAGGAGCCCTCAATAGCTCACAGGACAGGGATAAATGCCACAAAACAAACACCCTCTCCCATGGCGGAGGGGACTCAGGCTAGAGCATCACCATCCAGCCTCCCTGAGCCACCCCTGGGTCCCCAGGAGGGACAAGGAGAACGCTCACAAGGATGATGTTGTATTGAGATACGTCACACACTTGGCACATCCACTGCCCCTTTCATTCAGGACTCTGCGAGTAATTAGGGACATGAATGAAACCTTTCAGGGCCCTGCAGGAGGTAAGCCAGCACACACACATCACAGCAAGTGACTTGCCCAAGGACACACAGCCAGTGCCAGAAGCCGGGATTCCCACCACAGAGCATCCCTTGCTGCTCAGCCATGCAGGCGGTTGCCACTACCCATCATCATCATCACCTCACCCTTTGCAGAGAGGCAAAGTCCTGAGCCTGCTCCCTACTACACAGGCTGAGCAGGAGAAAAGCCTGAGAAGTGCAACCTGCACGGAGGAGTTCCTTGTTTTGCTTAGGAGCAGACACAAAGATATTTCAAGACTCAGTTTTACTCCCTGACTCTGCCCTAGTTTTGCTGCTGGAGGGAAAGAATCAAAACATTCACAGAAACATACACTGCCTGCCCGCCCCCCCCCAACAAAAAAAAAAAAGAAAAGAAAAAAAAAGAGCTTCATAGACACAAGCAAGTTGTCATCTTGGACTAGCTCTTCTACAGACCAAGGAATAGGCAGCACCAACTGCCAGAGCCCATCTCCCCAGGCATGGAGCCTGTCGGACAACAACAAGTTTTGAGGTAAACACAAGCCCTTTTACAGAGCCTGGGTCTTAGGATCTGCCCGCTCCAGAGAGCCCCTGAACCGGTCAGTTCTGGGATCTGGGTGCAGATCTGATGAGGAGCCAAAAAAAAAAACCAGCTCTTGTTTTAAAGTTTCTGAATGGATAAGAAAGGGAAAGCAGGAATTTAAGGTAAAAAACCGACAAACCATTCAGTGCTTGAGCTTACAACATCAGCCCCTGACCTTGTCCGGTGCTTTGCCCTGCAGCATGTACAAGAGCTTGTCCCAGCAGGCACCTACCAGTATGGACAACACACAGGCAGCACCCAGATGGATCAATCCCCATCTCCTCCCAATGGCCATAGTCCTTATTTCCCTGACAGCCTGGCTCTCCCTGGCTCACTGAAGTCTACTGAAGGTCATCTAACGCCTGCCTTGGGGCTGCATCTGTCCCACAGGCTGCTAGACAGTCTGCCCAGGTATCATGGTCACAGCAGAGGGACCTCAGCCTTGCTGTCTCCAAACAGGCAACACTCACTCAAGGCTGAGTGCCAGGGAGGAGGCTGGCACAGGGAATGGCTGGGGCATGCAGGTGTGTGTGGAACAAGCTCCATGCTGCAAATGGCAGCAGTAAATAGAGGAATGAGGGCTCCTGCTCTCGCCTGAGCAACCCAACCAAGCCCGCACAGTTTAACACCTCGCTCCCCCTCCATACATGTGGATCCATCAGGCGATGCAGCCTGTTCTCTCCAAATCTGATCCCCCCACAAGCTTGGGTTTGGCCCCAGGCTCCGCTTGCTGCCACTGACACCGCTCTGATCCCAGACTCAGGGGGAAAGTGATGACTGGGGCACACGGGACATGTCACAGCTTGGGCATCTTGGGGAGCACATGGGCAAGCCACAGAAACATATCCATCTGACTTGGAGGTATTTGCTGGCAGAGCAGGATGCAGGACAAGTTCCTGACTTGCTCCGAGGGGCTTGGACAAGGCTGCTTCAGCAAGGTCTCCACAGCCTGCAGCCAGGCAGGAGCATTGCTGCTGAGCAAAGGCTGTGCAGCTCTTCCAGGGCCACAGCCTGGCAGCCCGCTCATGCTTCCCTCCACCAGCCCCATTCTGCTCCACTGCTTCTTTGCTGGAAGTGAAGCTACTCAACAAGTCCCTGCTGACCAAGGGCAGTGCTTTCCAGCAAAGCTGTTTCATTAAATATACTTGCTCTGAGGCAAGAGTCTCTCTATCTGCACTGAAGTACCATGCACATTTTTAGGATACGTATATTCCCGTTCCGTATCACTTTCTATTCAGGCTCAGAGCCACCTTCCCCAGCCTGAGTCCACCTTCAAAGCCAGGTTAGTTTCTGGTTTAAATCTCCTGAGCAGTCCTACAGGCTTTTTCTTATCACTAACAAACCCTACTCCCCGTAAAGCACAAAGATTTCCTGAGCGCACACATGCTGAACAACAGAATCAGAAATAGGTCATGAAAATACGCTGGAATCCTTGGTTATACATGCCCGGCTGCATCCCTCCTTGTGCCTGCTGGGGCAGCAGGGATGCTCCAGGCACGGCCAAGGCCACAGAGAACATCAGCAAGCAAGTCTAGGAGTTTCCCGATATAATGTGACTATTGCACACCAGGAACACAAACCACTGCACCCCACACCCCCCTCCTCAAAGACCATTTCACCCCCAACGCCTGGGCCAGAGGCATCCCCCAAGCAGCAGGCACCCGCTCACACAACATAAAGCTGCTACTTACAAGTTGGAACAGTTACTGCAGCTAAAATCTCCCCCCACCAAACATCCCTCAGTAACATACGTTTTCCTCCCAGCACAGCACAAGCAGCTCCCTCTTCCTTCAACAGTTCTGCCAGTGGTGACCCACATTCCCATGCTAGCCCAGCGTTATTTGCTACAAACACATTACTAATGCAACGCGTACCTTGCACGGAGATGCAACCTCATAGACTCGTCATCCACGAGCTGCCTCCCACCCTCTTCCCTGATGTCACCGCTCTCAGCATCATTTCCTACCTAACCTAGATTGCAAACCCCTCCGAGCAAGTGCCTCATCGTCTCCCGCTCTGGGAAGGGCTAGTTGCCAGCATGGAAAGGCAAGCAGGCCTGGCAGGCTGTCACTGGGACAGCAGGCAATGTTTTGGAAGCAGCACAGGGTTTGGAGGGGCAAGGTTGAGAGAGGAGCACCTAAGGCAGCCCACAGCTTTCATCCAGCACAGGGGCTACACACAGCATTAGGGGGAGATGCCCCAGTTTCAGCTCAAAGAAGCAGCATGGGGGGAGGTGGGAAGGAGGACTCCTGCAGACACATGCTTTTACTGGCCAAGAAAAACCCAAAACCTCAAGCTTTCACCTGCTACAGGTCTAAGAGAGAGCTCCAGGTCAGCACTGAACTCCACTTTCATTCCCATTGAGACACTACAGCACACCCAGGAAGAGGTTAAGATAGATTTTAAAGGACCTTTTCACTTGGGGAAGCTTTCTTAGCTGCCCTCTGCAAAGCTCCTGGCTTGTCCAATTTTCTTTTGCAGACCTTTTCCCCTACACCCCAGGGACACCGCAAACCAGAGCAGGAACCCCAGCCAAGCAGCCCTGGCTCTGAACAAGCTGGAGCCTACAGACAAACCCCCCTCTAG